AAGCACTGCAATAATAGAACAAATCTCTGCCTCTGAGCAGACCTAATAAAAATAATATTGCTAAATCATATCTGGACTATTTGAAAGGTTAAATCTTTTTATGTTAACAAGTTCTCTTAATAGGTTATATAAAGGTTCATTACGGATTCTTTGCAGCTATGAGGTGGCAAAAATCATTATAATAGGAAACTATTCACTAATTATCTGACCCCATTGTTGGCTCTCCCTGCTTAACACCAGAGTCTACCTCATTCATCTTGTCAACTAAATGTTGAATGTCAGTACCATAAAAACACAGACTGCAGAGAGAAGGCATAATCTTGGCAAAGATGAAAGATGACAGGAGGCCTTGAAACTTCCCCCAATCGTATGCAAAGCACTGACAGATGAAGATCTGACAAGAGCTAGACCCACTCACTGTGGAAGAAAATTGACAAGAATGACAACTAGATGGGCGTTTCATAAGAGAATGGTCTCAATATCAAAGGAGTGTCTCAAGAAAATGAATGAAGCATTTGAATATTCTTTCAAAAAATCTTTTAAAACTACTAGAAAAGTTAAACATGAAATGAAGAATACCACATCATTTTATCATATAATGTCATAAAATGTATGCCCCCACCCACAAGAGATTCAGCATTTGATTCACTCTTTTTGAGATTCAATTTATTAACTGAAGTTATAACCTAGATTCTGTCATATATTAGATAAAACTAATAACATAAATGTTCATTTTAATGAAGTCCCAATGAAGCTTCCCCCCTCCCACTTACAAAATTCTGTTCCCCTTTCTACGTAGATTGACTTTCAATGCTCTTTTTCCCAAACATATCCTTAAATAACAAGGGCTGTCTACAAATCAATTCTGCCTCAAGGCAGTAGACAAATTTGTATCTACCAAATCGCCTTGTAGAGAAGAAAAAAGAAACAGATCTCATCACAACCTCTGTTAGACTCACACTCATGAAGTAAGAGAACATGACTTGAAGTCAATACACTATCAGACACAAACTTAATCATATGTAAAGCAGCAAATGGATGTTAAAATGGTCTTGTACCATTATATTTCTCCATGTAAAAAGGTATCCAAGAGGTGTCAAATTTGTTTCTTTTTACTTCCTAAAACACAGTAACTATTTTGATCTTATTTTTTCCAATACCTTCATATATTATTAATTCTCCTTCTTATCTTTTAATATAATTTTTTTCAGATTTGAGAGATCTATTCCAAACAGGCCTATCATGGATGTAAAGCTGAATTACCAAGTGACATAATGCTTATTAATACTCCCTTGTCGATACAGTTCATTATGACTCCAAAGATTAGAGTTACCATTACAACACCATCAATCAGCCAAAAAGCAGACCAAGACTGAGACTGGTCCTGTTCTATGAAATGAATCAGTGACTCTGATTAAACAGCTAATGAACTTCCCTTTCCAAGCACACTGATCATTGCCCTACAATTACTTTTGGTAGAATATCTTGTGCAATGTACTATATGTTGGATAAGACATGAAACTGAGCTATAATAAATTATACTAATAAAAGGCAGAACTTCAAATATGAGCAATTAAACTCCAGATCTTCTGTAATGGCAGTCACTAGGTAAATGCTGACAAAAACCTAATTTCTTTAATCAACTTACTTTTAAATGGCAAGCAATCAACTTAATCTAAAGAATTAGCTAAGTTTTTATCTGTGTAGGTATAATATTACATGGTGACAAGGAATATAGGGTTTAGAACCAGTCTGTCTATTTTCATATTAAACTCTGCCATCCATTAGTTGTAAGCACTTGGGGTAAGTTATATGGCCCTCTTTTTTTAAATCTGTGTAGTGGGGATTATAATACCTCAGCAAACTGTTAAAGGCTCACCAAGTTTGCGTACAATGGAAGATCAGCCTTCCCTCAAAAGGAAAGTGGATGATTGGCAATCAAGGACCAGTGTCCTCTGTCCTAAGCAAATTTGCCCAGGCAAGACTAGAGGAATCTTAGATTTTGATCTTGAATCTTGAGTGATGTAATATAAGGGTGGAAAACATTTTTAGAGCCTATCCATTTTAGTTAGGGCACTGATGAGCCTGCCTACCAGCTTCGGCTGCCTAGACACCCTTGAGAGTGTAGCTTTTCTATTGATTCTGTGAACTACCCCATATCTTTTTAAATTAATTTTTCTTCTAGTTTCTGTGGCTTGAAACTATCTAAACTTAACTGAAGTGATAGAACACCTCCAGTAGACAGGTGCATATATTAGACAAACGGGAACTGCTCAAGGGTAAAATCCTACCACTGAACCAGAGCTTTAAAATACTGCTCATTTGCATAGCATTTTACAGTATTCAAAGTATCTCGTTTGACTCCTGCAATAACCCACATTGTATGTGGGAGAGGTCTGATGCACCATCCCAACTAAGGGTTAGAGTCCGGACTAGAGACGAAGTCTGCTCAAAAGTCAGGCTTTTGCACTATGTCATCTGATTTGGGAACCACAGATTTCAATCACTTGTTGACCTAAATTCCGCATAAAGGAATGTAATGATCATTTATAGCACAAAATACTAGGTAGGCAAGATACCTGACAGATTTTACGATAGAAAGCCTTCATTTGATTAATGGGAAAAAAAGACCCTGGATAATTAAATGACTTACTTGAAATAAATAATCCACCTAAAGTGGAAATAATGCAAATTCATGGTGTATCAGACTCAGATACCTACCATTCAAGAAATTTTAGTTACTGGAGCAAAGGTGTCATCCCTAAGGTGGTTGTAAAAGGTCTGCAGGAACTCGGGGAAGTAACTAGACAGGGAGCTGTTCCCTAGCCTTAGCTCAAGACTTCTCACCTCAAAGGCTCTTTAAGGAACTCTCTGTTCTTGGTGGACATGCCACCTGACATCTGCCCTTGGCCCTGGCCTAATCCCACTAGAGCTACTCTAAACATACACAAAACTGTCTGCAAGCTGAGCCTTAATCCTTGTTTGCAATTCAAAGAAAGCCCTTTATCCCCCGTCCCTCCCAGGGCCTGCATTCATCCTATAGAACTACCCCTTGGTCCTGGGCACCTTTGGAGTCCTATCAGAAGCTTCTCCTAAGCTTCCAGGAAGGGACCAGGCCTGAGTACTATAATAGCTTTCCCCACCTCTCTCCAAGGCGGTGGACTGAGATGGGGAATCAGATTCTTATCACAAGTTGCCAACCAGTTGGCTGAGCCTTCCTCCAAGCTGCATTCCCTCAACATCCCAAAACTCCCCAAAGCAGCATGGCTGTGCTGTGTCTTATGCAATCATATTCAAATCCGACCTCAGTAGAATCTGCACTGCTGCCCTTTTTGAGACCCAACACTCATATGATCTCCTCTGTGCATGCTAGAACTGTAGTCATATCTGATTTCCTGCAGCCCGTTTCCTCTGTCCCGATGCCCCATTTTCCTCTTGCGCTCTGTTTGTTGTAAATACAGTGAGGCTGGTGAGATTGAGGCACGCACTGTTACGGGCTGTATATGGACATAGTATGATCCACACACATTCTTCCTTTGAGTAACTGGCATGCCCAGTGCAAGAAATATCAACACTTTATAAAGAATCTCTTATTTCTGCAGTAGACACAATTTTTAGGATATACCTGAGGAGGAACAAAATTATGACAGATTCCATTTCCCTAGAGTACCGAGAAGAATCTGTGAGGTTTCGTTTTGGGAAAAGGCCTGGCAGATATCAATGAGAAACCTTGCAATTTAAAGCAAGTTCGGTTTTTCTTCCAATGCTCAAGTGACAATAGAACGACAAAAGCAAACTTCAGTCCATTTGTCTCAACCCAGCAGGACAACCACTCCCCAGGAAAGGAATTATCAACATGAATCATTTGTAAAACACACAACCATTTTAATTGACTGAAATAAGTAGCATTCATGCTGAAATACGAGGTCACCCTGGACACTTGAAATGAAAGAATATAGATGAGAAGAAAGCTTAGATCCCAGGTAGCATTTGAAAAGTTTCATGGTGAAGGGTGGATAAATAGGGGAATTCCCGGAGGTCAACGTTTGAGGTTTCTTTGCAGATCTGAGTGGGTATAATTTTAGATCTAAATGGAAACCAACATATTGAAGATATGAAACAAATCAGTCAATTATAACGTCTTAAAGATAAAAAGCAATCCACTTGACTTTGTGTGATACATTATTTGGTTGGAAACATTTTAAATCTTCTTTATACCTTTAAAAAAAATCTTAATTGCTTACTTTATAAAAATAAATTATCCTAGTTGAAAGCTCATGCTCTTCTCAGTTAAGCCAATTTAAAGACAAAATTTTAGTTTGTGCTTTATACAGCACTAAAATAATACGGGGCTCCAACCCCATGTACTAATGGGGATTCAAAGTTACCATAGATGAAAACATATTACAGATTCTGAATATCACTCTTCGTTTGCTTTATCATTTAAAAAAATCTTTCTCTAATGAATCATAAGTCCATAAAACTTACCATCTTGAATGGACCTTAAAAATCACATCATAGACGGTTCCTTCATTTAAGAAATGAAGAAATTCAAATTTAGAGATTAAGTGAGCTTAAAATGAAATTCCTCATCAAACACCTAATTTAGAATCTGAAAATAACACTATCATAGAACACATATGGAGCATTATTCCCCGTCCTTACTCTCTCCAGGATTCAGGCTATGTACTTATGGACCAAAGGAAGGCAGGAAAAAGGATAATCAAGATGCACAAATACTGAACTACCAAAGCTTATAACCCACACAGTATTAGATGGCTCTATCACAAAGCTTTCAGGTTGATGTTAAGTCAATTAACTGCCACTTTAAAGATATTTAAAAAATAATAATGACAGCACTTTTCAGAAATGGTTACAGCTCTCTGACATTATCTGGGAAAATGACCATTTATGGTTCCATCCAATGTCCACAATTCTACACACAGCATAAGATGTAACAAAACTATTTTAAGCTCCATTGCTGAGTAGAGTGAATGTACCTCCCAGCCTTCAATGTGAGACTGCCATTCCTCTAAGACTTCTAACTTCTCCATCTGCCTCTTGGCCTCGTTTATGTTAGAACAGACAGCTTTCATGGCTTGGAGGGCTTCCATTACTGCTGCATAGTCACTGTGTTTCCTCGGAGTCCGCTTCAGCAACTCCTGTTTATACACAAAAAACAAATCACCCTTTGATCTTCAGCTTTCTGGTACAGCAGGTTCAGACTGACCAGGAAATGAAAACTGCAGAAATCGTGAGAGCCACTTGCAGAAGTGACATCACAAACTCCACTAAGATTAAGATTAAAAAGGAAAGGTTGAACCAATGGATATGCGTCACTCTGATACACATCTTGCAGCTCCTTTAATTTTTGGCCTTTAAATTATTTTGTTTTCAGAAACTAAATTAGATTTCTCCTTTCAAATTGTCAAATATCTCACCGGCAGCATGTAATTTTTTTATAAGATTGACCGCTGTTCCAACAGAAATACAACTTTATATGTCTTCCTAGAGTCTTTAACAGAACAGTAAGCCTTTAAATAAATATGTCCCATAATTTCAAAAATAATTTAAATGCCTTATTTTCTAATACACTTTTGAGAAACTATAAAAACATGTCAGAAGTAAAGCAAAATTTTTAAATAATGTCTTACACTCTAGCAAAATAAATTTATAAGTTCCACGATACTCCATCACTAAAGGAACAATTTACGCTATTTTCACCAATAACTCAGGTTCATTTTCTGCAATGAATGAATTGCCATATGCCCCTCAAGAGCTTTTTTTTGTTTTGTTTTGATTTTGGGGTTTTTTTTGGCATTTTATGGTTTTTTCCATTCAGGATATCAGAGCAAGAGTGATCTTTAATCTTTTAAATATATTAAAAGGTTCTGTTTGTTGTTTAGAAGCACAAAATTAAACATATTCAGCCACTGTCTAGACAGTTGTGACCACATTGCTTTTTAATTAGTCATTTGTTTCTTTACTACAGTTGCCATCATCATGTAACTAACACAATCACAGAAATCCTGAGGCAAGTCTTCAAAAGAATTTCCTTAATTCTTAACATACAGTGGGAAAATATGCAGTTGTTATGCTCTCTTGAGGTCTGTTACTGTTGAAAATGCTGTCATACCCTTTGACCCTGCATTCAGTATGTTCACACTCCATTCTGTGGAGCTAACACCCAAGACAAGATTTAAAAACTTATGTTGGGGTGGCGCCTGGGTGGCTCAGTCGTTAAGCATCTGCCTTCGGCTCGGGTCATGATCCCAGGGTCCTGGGATCGAGCCCCGCATCGGGCTCCCTGCTTGAC